ATAGGCTCCATGTTTAAACATATCCCAAACCCCTCATCTTTCCATCTCCATTGTTACTAATTTTGTCTATCATTTTTTCTCTGGACTATTTCAAGTGCCAAATCAGATTATGTCACTTACTTGCTTAAGACCCTTCAATGGCTTCCCATTCTTAGAATAAAGCCCAAACTCCTTACTAGGGCCCATGAGGTTAACGTCATCAGCCACTCCTCATACGACTCTTCCCTTATTACAATCCAGCCAGACTGCTGTCCCTCCACTTTTTAAATGTAACAAATGCTTTCCTGCCTCAGGGCCTTTGCACATGCTATTCCCTCAGCCTATAACTTTTTTACACCCTGGTTTCCACAGCTGGTTTCTTCTCCAGCTTTATATCTTAAGTACAACTTTTGCACCCTTTCACCCCAAATTATTCAATATCTATTGAATAAAGTGAATGAATCCATTATATTTTTATTACCTTCCAAGCAATTATGACACATTCATTATCTTGCTTATTTGTTAGTTTCCCTGTTATCATATGTTAGGGCTGATACCTCCTCTGTACTATTCATTACTGTACCCCAGGACCCAGGGCAATGCTTGGCACATGGCAGGGGCACAGTGAATTTCTACTGAAGGAATCAGTGGGTGAGTACCCATAAGCTTCAGGTGCCAGACTCCTCAGTGCACTCGTGGAAGATGACGATTAGTGCTCTTCTGGCTCTGACATTTGAAGATGCCCCAGACTCTGTGCTAGCAAAATGTCAATGCACAGCGGGCCACCAGAAATTCCTCGAGTCACTCAGGGGGCCATTACTGTCCTAGTGCCTCTCTGACCATAACAGGCCTTCTCTGGCGGAAAGATACTGATTTCTTCAATGTCAGCGCTGGAAGGGAACTTAAAGACGGTCAAAGCACAATCTCTTCACTTGACAAGTGAGGGATGCACCCTTTAACTTTGTCATTCACTGACGAATGTCACTTGCCACTGAGATACATTAAAAGTTACAGGGTGGTGAACTGAACATACAGCCAATGAATTATAGAATTGTACTCCTGATATCTATAATTTCATTAACCAATGTCACCTCCATAAATTCAACAAAAGGTGAAACCGAATATAAAAATAAAATAAAATTTTTAAAAAGTTGCAGAGGATAGGATCCATCTTGCTGAGAGTGTCAAGCCACCTTGTACCACTGAGGTGAGGATACTCCTGGGCCTGGCACTCAGTCAGAAGCTGTGGTCGTGGCCTGTACTTTCTGCCGGTAGAAAGAAAGCGATTGTACCATGTGGTTTTCACAGTAAGCCCTGAGATTGGCAGCAAAACAAGTTTGTGGTGATACTTTCTTACACCTAATATCAAAGGGGGAATTAAGTTATCTGGAAAAGTTCACACCTTCTTAATTTAAAATAGACAGGGCTCAGTGCTAAGCTTTTGTTCTCCATCAGTGTAGAGAAGAAAAAGTGTGAAACCGAGTTGTCAAACATTATGAGAAAGAAGAAATAAGAGACCAAAAGGAAAGAAAAGAGGCATAAGGATGAATGGAAAAGGAGGAAGGAGAAGTTGAAAGTAAAAACTGTCAGATGAGACTAATTTGAAATCCCAAGGTCAAGGAAGGAGGGAGGTTCCTCTGGGGCTGTGTGTCTGTGAGTTTGATAGCGTGCAAATTCCGTCCTCCCTCTGGTCCTTTGTCAAATGAACAGAGTGGAATAAACATTCTAGAAGTAATTCCTAGAGTCCTCTTTATTTGTCACTTTTTGATTCGAAACCACAGATAGATCCCCAATACACTTGAGGGCCTGCTCTGACATCCTTTCAGATATGTGACAATGGATTCAAAACCAGTCCTGGTGGTTTTTGATGGCTGATGGGCCAGAGTGACAGAATGAGAGCCACTTCCCTTAGGCAATCAGCAAGGCATGGCAAAGTTCCTGATGACCCTGAGCGCCACCACACTTCTTTTTAGAGCCTACAGTTCACAACACGTGGGATGAAAAGCTGTAATGAAACCCCTTACATTTGTATACATGCCTTTTGAAGCTTGTAAAGTGCTTTCACCTATTTTATTTCATGTAAGTCTCACAATAAACATGGAAGGCATTGTTCTTCTCAGATTACCAATGAGGAAGCTAAGACACTGAGAGACAAGGGACTTGCCCCAGGTCACCAGGGTGCCAGTCCGCCCCTGTTTGTTTTCCCCTGCTCTGCTTTGCATCAGAGAGACCGACAATGTTCCAGGCGCCCTAACCTGTTGCTTTAAGGCCAGTTGGGCTGATGGGAGTCTCTGACAGGAAGTTGAGGGAGAGGAGGAGAGAAGCAGGCTCTGTCTTCTCTGTCTGTCTCCAGCGGCCTCTCCATCAGTGGCTTCATGTGCTCTGTGCCTTCGGCTCCTGCCAAATCCATGCCCTGATCTTGTAACACCACCTTCTCTTATGTCCCTCCGGTGGTTTCTTCCTGCCGTTGCTAATCTCTGGTTCCTCACCATCCCATTTATAGCTTCTCAGTTCTTCTATCACCTGTGCATCCAGTTCCTTATATTACATTTCTGATGTTGAAAGACCTAGAGCGGTTTCTGTCTTCTTGGTTGGGCCCAGAGTGCATCCCCGGGCTTGGAAATCATCTCTATGAGGAGCTATAATCAGGGCAGAAACGATGTGAGACAGACTCGTGTATGCGTGTGTATGTATGTGTGTCCATATGTAAGAACCTTTCTCCCAGGAACCCAGCTGATATATCTTTGGATCTCGAGATGCCAGCATGGTGCCCGGCATGCAGGAGGCACCAGTAGATGTTTGCTGACCTAATATATCTATTTGGTAAAACAAACCAGGCCAGGGTGGCTGTGTAGTTTATCTCTAAGTTTATCGCCAAATGTCTATGAGATATAAGAACGACAGGTCCTTCTGGTCTTTAAAATGTAGCAATGAGCCATTTGGCCACATTCTACAAGGCCACACAGGGAACTACATTGATTGCGATTTCTTTAGGATCTTTCTGATTTTGAACCATAGTAGTTGTTTCAGATGGAAAGATATCAATGAGTTGAAACTTGGGAAAATGAACAATTTCCAGACTCAGAGTAGGTGAAAACGGGATTGACAGCATGGGCAAACATGGGGAAAAAACATTCTTTAAATTGTGTTTTCTTATACTTATGCAGGCAGAGTTTAACAGAGTGTACCGTGGGCTGGGAAATCTAGGTGGTGAGGTCAGCTTTGCCATCAGCCATGTAGCCTTGGGCAGTTCATTTCTTGCTGGAGCGTGACTCTTCTTAGGAGAATAGATTAGGGCACACAGAGAGGTACCAGGGATGTGTGTGCACAGAGGAGAACTCATGTAAAGTGGTGGAAGGAGGGTGGCCTCGGAGGAAACCTGCCCTGCAGGCACCTTGACCTTGGATTTCCAGCCTCCACAACTGTGAGAAAATAAATATCCATTATTGAAGGCACCTAGTCTGTGGCATTTTGTTATGGCAGCCCCACCAAACTAACATGGAGACTTATGTTGGATTCATTCATTCAACAAATATTTATGGAGCATCTATTATGTCCCAGGCACTGATTCTTGAAATAGGGCATAGAGTGCTGAGAAAAAAGGGCTTCTGCTCTCAGAAGCTTAGTCTAGTGCAGCCGTGGGCAAACTACGGCCCGCGGGCCAGATCCGGCCCGTTTGAAATGAATAAAACTAAAAAAAAAAAAGACCGTACCCTTTTATGTAATGATGTTTACTTTGAATTTATATTAGTTCACACAAACACTCCATCCATGCTTTTGTTCCGGCCCTCCGGTCCAGTTTAAGAACCCATTGTGGCCCTCGAGTCAAAAAGTTTGCCCACCCCTGGTCTAGTGGAAGAGATTGACAATCAAAAGATCACATGAGCAGTGTGGAAAGAGCGGGAAATGGGGTCCACATGCTCTGCAGGAGCACAGTGCTGCCGGGGGGCGGGGCGGGGATGCTGGCAGAGGGATGTTTCATGGTAGGTACTGTTTTATTCTCAGCACGACTGCAGTGCCGAGCCCATAGCCAATACTCTGTAAATGTGGTCTGGCTTTAATGGAAGGCTCTGATCTCTCAATTCTCTATGTGGAATAACATGATTTCTTAGCATTCAAGGAAAGACAGATGCTACTAAGAGCTGCCTTTATAGGGCCCACAAAGCTGAGGCAGTGGGAAGGCCAATAGATGAGAAGGGAGAGGAAGTGGGTACTCATCTCAGCCCCGCCGCAAGCCCGTGGGGTGGTGACCCGATACAACGCCCTTCCCTTGTCTGGACCTCCACTTCCTCATCTTCAAAAATGAAGAGGTTGGAGGGGTTCATCTCTAAGATCTCATCTAGCTCTGTGAAATCTCTTCCGAAGTCTAGTTCACGAAAGATTAATCTCCAAAGGAGGAAGAAAGGGACAGAGGGAGGCAGGGGAAGGGGAGAGAGGCAAGAGGCTCCCCCATTTTTTGTATGAGACCTTGGCCAAGAGGTTGCCTCTGAGTCTCAGCATCCTTTTTCTTGAAAGGTGAGGGGGTTAGTTATCTTTCATATTCATTCTGTTCCCAAAGATTCTATGCCTATGAGTATTAGGGAACTCTTGGATCTTCTGTACCCGAGTGTTCATTAATTTCAACAGGAAGGCATCCCTGGGCCAAGAGTCTGCAGTAGATGTCATGAGGATCGGCCTCCAATCCTCATGCACAGCATTCAGTTATGAGCACATAAACTGGTTTCTGCAAACAGGAAGTCTTAGAAACGCAACCCTTTACTCACCACTTATTTTTCACTTAATAACTAGATCATCAACTAAGTCAATCCCCCCCTGAGAGAGACCATAGAAAACATACAAAACTAAGGATTGGTCTGCTGACATTTCCTGGAAAGAAAGATGTTACTTTCTTTTACCCAACTACTCACAGTGAGGAAAAGTTACCAGAAGTATCTTAAAAACCAAATTTTATTAGAATGGCTTGGGCAAGGAGTAGATCAATTAAAAGATAAAATTAAATTATCAATGTCCTACAATAGGGAAATGCGTAAGTTAATTTTATTACATCCATATGAAATTTTATGCAGCACTTTAAAAAGTATTTTAAAAGATTATTTTACAACATGTGGAGATACAATATAATAAGTGAAAAAAAGCAGGATACAAACCATAATTTAACATAATCTTAATTTTGTTAAATACACACTATACATCATACATATACATTAAAAAAGACCTGAAAAAATACTCCAAAATACTAACAGCAGTAATATCCAGAAGGAGGAAGTATGAGTGATTTTATTTGCTTCTTTATGCTATTTTACGTTTTCAAATTTCCAGTGATATGTATTCATTTCTTGGTTTAGTCATTCAGCAAAGATTTCTTGTGTCAACTATGAGCCAAGTATGTTGTAGGTGCTAGTGAAAGCGGCAAATCTCAGCCCTCTGCAGCTTAGCCTCTAGTAAGTTGACCCAGATACGAAAGAAGAAAAATCAGTAAACAAACAAGAGGATGTGGACGGTATTATGTGCTCTGAACACATCCAGTCAGGGTGATGGGAAGGGAATGAGCGGGGCGGTGCACCTGCCTTGCATGGATGGTCAGGGAGGGCAGCCCTGAGGAGGGGCCAATAGTCCTGAAACGGAAGGACATTCTCATCACAGGGAACGACCGGGATGCGTGGGCCTGACACCCTGGGCACCACGGGTCTGGGAGGATGTTTGGCTTCTATTGTAGGCCAGTGGGGGCCACAGGAAGCTTTCTCGTGGGAGTGACCAGGTGACACGCTGCTCAGACAGATGGCTCTGGCTGCAGGGTGCAGAGGGGCTCCTGGTGGTGAAGGCAGAGTAGAAGCAGGGAGACCTCTTAGGAGACAAGTTTTTCTTTATAATTCGCCAATTCTGGGACATCAGTTTCCACTACTGTAAAATGAGAGGCAGTTGGGCAAGGTCCATGATTTCTAAGAGCACTTCCAGTACTTAAACATTAAAATACACATTATTGTTGGGTACCTGTTGACCTGTCTTGTGAAAAATGTATAAGCTTCTAAACACAGGGCCCAAGCCTGTCTCTGCTTATCCCCAGCACAGGGCCTCGCACCTGGAAGGCCCATGGGGCATACACAGTGCCTGCAGGGGTCTGTGGGGAGTGGGGAGTGTCATTCTTGCAGTCGGTTTCCTCTGCGCTTCCTGCGAACTCACCTGCTGAGACCGTTGTCCCAAAGGCAATGGGGAGCCACGGAAGGCTCTTCGGCAAAGCTGACTTCTGTGTGTTAGCAAGTGCACGCGGGCGGGCGTGCTGCAGGAGGTCTGGAGGGGGCCAGGTGTGGAAGCGGAGAGACAGAGAGACACCGAATTTTACTAGAGAATCCCCCTGGGCTGTGGCTTTCCAAGTGAGCCCCCTGTGAAAGCAGGGACCTGCCCGTGGGGAAGGGCCACCTCGCAGAAGCCCACCTCTGCCGGGCTCACACAGGGAGACAGAGTGAGAGCTCTGCCTACTCAGAGTTGGGGAAATAAGGCACAAAGAGACCAAATGACTCATTTGCCAAGGATTTCTGACTTCAGGGCCTCCTCTCATCTAATGTGAAAACCAGACTCTACTTAGCGTGTCATCCACGGAGCAGGAGGGCTGTGTCTGTGCCAGATGGAAGGGAGCATCAGGGTGGGGTGGGGAGGGGAGAGGGAGGCAAGTGTCCTGGGCAGAAACCGTGACCAATGCTCCAGTACCTTCATTTGGACACTCCCTTAATCCAAGAAGGGCTAAAACTGGCCGCGGAGCTTGCCTTATGACAGCAGAGCGATCAGACAAAAGGAATAAGCCCAGTTGAGTCAGCCGGATGGTAATCCTCCTGGAGAGCATGCACATCCAACGAAAATAGATCAGAGGCTCTTTCCCAAGACACGGCGCCTGGAGATGCTGGGACCAAGCCCCTCACGTGAAGATGGGGAGGGACGGTGCCACCCCCCAGAGATGGGGAGGGAGCTGTCCCACAGAGTCAGGGCTGGGACTCGGACCCCGCTCTTCCCATTCGGAGGTCAGGGCTCATCTCACTTCTTCACAACTCAGTCTGGGTCCAACTCTTTATTTGCCAAACCTGTATTCAGGCACAACCGCAGGGGGCAAGTAAAGTGATTTCAAAGCCCCTTGTGTATATTGTGTGTTCCCATGTACACACACACACACACACACACACACACTGCTTTAGTTTGGTGAGGTCTTTTTTTTTCCATTAAGTACTATGGACCATTAATATTACTTAAGTATCTGCGTTCACCACCCCAATTCAAAGGCACAGTTCACAGAACCTAGAAGCAGCTCTACTCCAACCCCTTTGTCTTGCAGATGAGGACTGGGCCACAAAGGACCAGTGCTCTTTCTAGACTGCGAAAGGAAAGCAGCATGCTGTAGTACACATGCCTTACTTTATTTTTTTTAATATATTTTTATTGATTTCAGAGAGGACGCATATTTTTTTAAATATATTTTTATTGATATCAGAGAGGACGCGAGAAGGAGAGAGATATAGAAACATAAATGATGTGAGACAATCATTGATCGGTTGCCTCCTGCATGACCCCCACTGGGGATCAAGCCCACAACCGGGGCATGTGCTCTTGGCCAGAATTGAACCCGGGACCCTTCAGTCTGCAGGCCAACGCTCTATCCACTGAGCAAAACTGGCCAGGGCAGCCCATGCCTTACTTTCTGTTCTCAAGCACAGACTCTTGAAAGGAAGGGGGTAGAGAGCTAGACGATCTCCAGCTTATGGCCTTGGCAGGGGCCTGACATCTTGGCATGCTAATTAGTGAATTTCTAAAGAAGAGCTTTACCTTCTTGGACAGTTTTTGCTATCATGGTCACAATCATCCATTAAATAAACATTTACTGAATGTCCACTCTGCTGGGTCTGTTATGTACTTTCAATCTCTTTTAATTTTCATAAGACTGTGATGCAGTGTATCGCTTCTTTTCTTTTCTTTCTTTCCAGAGAGAAATACAGAAATGTGTCCACGTCCTAGACTCAGGAAGGTGGCAGAGTTGGGATCTGACCTTCTGCTCACTTCTATTATGCCAAGTGCCTCTGCTATGTGGTGATCTCGACTCCACTGTGGATACTGTGTGGCTGGGGAGGGCAGGTCTCACAAGCCTAGAGGACTGTGGGGCCAGGTTTCTCAGACCCCACCCTTCCCTGGGCTGCTAAGCTCAGCAGTGAGCTCCCTGTTGCATCTGAGGTTTATAAGCCCCACCTAGAGGCTCAGGGTGGGATTCCTGGCAGCCAAGACCCACGGTGCTGGGCCTGGCTATGAAGAGGCCCAGAGCAGAGCAAAGATCATTTGCTGGCAAGGACTGGCCTTGAGGAGTTTGGTTGGTCCATAGCTCTGAAGGGAACACAGCAAGAGCGAATCCAAAGGATTGGACTCAGACCACAGAAGAGAAATAGAGCCTGGGACATAGTTTTAAAGAGTTTGCTGGAGGAAGCCCCCTTGTGTTTTATGTGTACACACCTTTCAGAGCAGGCCCTGAGAATGTCCCACACAGGACAGGAATTTCCTCTAGTGTCCCCGATGGCATTGCATTTCTGCTTTAATGTGTCCAGGAACAGGAAGCTGACGACCTTGCAGACTATTGTAATTTTCAGAAAGTTCCAGTATTCGTCTGCTACCTGTGCATTGGGTCCAGATCTGCCCTTTGGTTTGCAAAAGCTCAACGGGTTTCCTCCCAGCAGCACTCGGGATCATTTGAAGACAACTTTCACTTTTTATACCGGGGTCCCGCCAAGTGTGCTGAGCAGAGTCAGAAGTTTGCCCGCTGTGAATAGGTGTCCTCTCTAAAACAAACACTTCAAAACAAACAGACAAAAGCCCGTAAACAGCATTCTGTGGGCATGTAGGTGAAAGCGGGTCAACCAGGTACGTTTCCTGCAAGACTGTTTGTTCACAACTGTTACTATGCTGTGCAGAGCGTGAGCTCCAGCAGAAAGCACTGGGCGAGCAACGTTTCCCAAGTGTTTGACCTCCCACGCTTTTTATTTTTTCTCCCAATGCTCCTTACTGTTTTCCATATAGACCATCAGAAATGCTGTTTGGAAAATGCTTCCCTACACAAATCCAGGTTCTTCCTAACATTGTCTCCAAGCTAAAAAACCAGGCTCCTTCAACTATTTATTTCAGGATCTTAGTTCCTGTTCTCTAGTAGGGCCATCAGATTAAAATACAGGATGCCCCTTTAAATTGAATTTCAGATAAATGATCTTTTTTTGGGGGGAGGGGGTAGAAGTATCTTCCATGTAATATTTGGAACATACCTACATGATAAGAGAACTCCTTGCTTATCTGAAATACAAATTGAACTGGAGGCCCTGTATTTTTATTTGCTAAATCTGGCAAGCCTAGAAGGGCCCAAATGCCCTTCGTCCCTGCAAAGACGTTTCCCTAAGAACTGGACACAGTAGCCCAGGGGTGGACTACGACTGAGACAATTGATGACCTTGGGAGCCACCTTCAATTCCATTTTTTTCCGTCATGTTTTTAAAAGGAAAATGGTAATATTGTTATGAATGGTTAGTGGCCAGCCTGTGGCTGACAGGTACCAGATAGCTTTCCGAACCCACTGGCTAACTCCAGAAACCAATTTTCCCTCCCTCACCCCTGTTCATCAGTATATTTAAGTTTCTCTGGTGTTAGTATTAGGAAGCTTGATCCAAACATCATTTATAATCCCCTTTATTGTCTGTCTTCTCCACTCGACTGTAAGAAGCTTCAAAAAATAGGGACCAACCATGTTTACCTTGGTCATGGTTGTACCTCTGGTAGCCGGCACAGGTGCCAGCATAGGTAAGTGTTCAAAGATCTTTGAATAAATGACTTAATGACTTAATCACACTCTGGAAAGCGAAGCAAACCAGATAAGCTGATGCTCTGAAAAGAAGAGCTTGCCAATGGGAGTTTTCCTCACGGTTGGGATTTGTCATCTACCCCACGTCTTCCCAGACCCATTAAATCCTGCTCACCTGTGTTGAAGCCAATTCCATTGGTAGATGCCTGTGCAAAACAAGAACATCTAATTGCTATGACTAAAATAAAACATTTCAACCAAACATGAGCCGTTTTCCAGAAGCTGAAATACTTCTGGTAGCCTGCAATTTTTATCAAGGTGTGGAACTTGGCCCTTCGCAGCAGGCTGGCCTGTGCCCAGTGGGTGTGGGAGTGGGGCAGATCACGCCGGGTCTTCCCACAGAAACTTCCTGATCCAGAGGAATTAGGCAACGTGAACAAGGGCAGCCTCAGTGGCGGGGCAGGTATAGGAAGCAGGACACAGCATCCCATCACTCTGACCTGGTGAACGTGCATCTGGTGTCTGGCACGCGGGACCAGAAAGACTTGGAGTTTTTGCTCTAAGACATAGTTGATAGAACTGGACGCTGCCGCCACCTAACATGAGCTCACCCATGCTTGGGGCTTGTCAATATTGAAAGCATCCTGGGGACTGTCCCTGGAGCAGGAGATTATGTGCAGCTTGGCAGCTGTGGCTTCAGTGCTGGGTGTGTGTGTGTGTGGGGGGGGGTGTTAACCCTGAATCTATATATATAAAAGGCTAATATGCAAAGTGTCCCCTCGGGAGTTCGACCGAAGACTGCTCGCTATGATGTGCGCTGACCACCAGGCGGTGGCACAGAACGAAGGAAGGCCCCAGTCAGCAGCCAGCAGCTGGGGAAGGGAGGCCCCGGCCAGCAGCTGGAAGGCCCCTATTGGCCCTGATCGCCAACCAGGCCTAGGGACCCTACCCATGCACGAATTTTGTACACCAGGCCTCTAGTTTATTTATAAGATAAAATACAGAGAAGTACAGCAAGGAGAGCCCTGGGTTCCAGGAGGATAGCAGAGTGCAGTCTAACTTGTGTTGCTTCCTGAGGATAAGTATAAAGATCTATGTTCAAGGCCCAATCCATGCCCTTAGACAAGTCTTTTAACCTCAGTCTTTTTGTCTGTGAAATGGGAACAACCATCCATGCTGACCTTAGATTTGTGAGGATTGGATAAGACAGCAGATATGAAAGCCCTCAAGAGCTGGATCAATACGAGAGAGAGTTACGACACAGTGTCCCCTTGAGCACAGTGCTCTGGCCCTCAGCGCTTGATGGATCTGGCAGGTTGCTGCCAAGAGAGCACAAAATAGCACCCAACTGGGAGCAAAGAAAGATGTTCCTTGCACAGCCTGAAGCAAAATAAAAAGAGCTTCACATTACATTATATAATTCCTTTTAATCATGGAAGAAAACATTTGCCAAGCGCACACTTGAAGACATACTCCGTGGGTAGGAGTTTTTGGACTGTGCAGATTCACTTGGGAACATCTTGATGGCCCCGAGATGTAAGGCCGTAGGTGAGCCTTCAATGTGGCCTGAATGTTCCTATTGATCTCCCTGAGTCTGTTTCTGGCCTGGCCCAGGCCCTTGCTGGCTTTGCTGGTACACAGGAGCCAAATGCACACACATGTAGTTCTAATTCATTGGAGGGAAAGTAAGGCAGGGTGTGTGGCTGCTAAGTGACTTGCTACTTCCTCTGCTGTGAGATGCTACACCCACTGGAGGGAAATTCGTTAATGCGTAAATATGTGTGTACGAGAGTCTGCCGAGCCAAGGCAGCAGGACACCGAGTCAGACCTCGTGCCTGAAGAGGGCTTTCCTGCCGGGCTTTGTCTGTTCCTTCCTCCAGTGTCACATTCCCCGCAGTGGTCCCTTATGGAACATACTACTTCCAGCCCCACACGGTCCCCACCAGGACCCACAGACCTCTGATTCCCATGCTTCTGTTTACTTCTCTCTATTGCCAACTCTCTGCAAAGAGCACTCGGGGCTTGGAGCTGGCCAGAGGTTCTGCTTACGACTCTGGGAAGGCACAAGGCAATCTTTATGCAACCCGACCTGCCCATCCTCCCCTCCTTGCCTGGGCCAAGAATAGTCAATGATCGTGTTCTGGAAGAAACCCCACCTTGTCACTGGGTGCTCTGAGCCGAGAGGAGGGGGAGCAGAGCTGGAGGCACATGCGTGAGGCCAAGCCGCAAAGCCCGAGGCTCCAAAGTCAGAGGGCTCGGCTCTGATGCGCCACTTCCCCATCCCTCGTCAAGGACAAGCCTAGTCCTGATGGTACCCTGCGAGGAGGGTGTCTGCCCGCCTCCCAACGCCCACTGGGTTTATATACACCATGTGTGTAAACATACGGGTGTGTTCACAGAGGCAGCATCTGCCAGTGAACGCTCATATGGAAGCATGCATTTCTAAGAAACACACAGTGTGCCTCTGAGCCCATATGTGTGCACCGATCTACGCAAGAGTGCTTTCGTATGAGTGGGCATACTGTCAGAGATCGCCTCAAAGTTCAAATCGGATCTCTGCTGTGCACATAGCGATGGCTCCTAAATGCTCTTAGGATAAAGACCTTCAGGTGTGGCCCCTGCCCCCTTTGGCAGCTTCATCCTGCACCTGCTGTGCTCTCCCTCTGCACACCGGCTGCACTGACCTTCTCTTAGAACTTCTTATGCACGAGAGGCTTCCTTCCAGCACAGGGCCTTTGCATGTGCCTTTCTCCCCGAGTGGCATATTCTTCTCTCCTCTCTTTCTCTAGAAATGATCTGGCCTTCCTTAGCTCTCGGCCAAAACCTGACCTCCCGGGAGAACCTTTACTGAGCTCTCCGTCTTGCTAGAAGATGCCCCCAAAACACCTGTATCTCCTTCTTAGCAGCTATCCCAGTTGCAACTTTGCATAATTTTTCAAAACCTCTCTCTCCCATTACGCAGACTCAGGAAGAACACAGTGACCATGCATTGAATTAAGGGTTCATATACTTACCCAGGAAGAGGGGTCAGTGTAGGAGCCTGCCCTTACGTAGCACTGAGGTAGCAGTGGGACCATGACTACTAGACATGGCATGTTCGCTGATTTGGAGCACACGGAAGTGTGCTGGGGAACCCGTGTGTGTATTTATCTAAGGAAGAATGATTAGACCCGAGTGCATCTGTGTCCTCTAGGGATGTGCATATTCGTATGGAAGTAGACACAGAAGAACCTCCAAGTGAACATATATGTATGTGAAAATGCACGTGGGTATCTGTGTCGATATGGGTGTTGGCATCAATGACCAAGTCTGTGTGTGTGTCAGTGTGTTTATCTGGGAGGCGTATGTATATGTATGAGTCATACCCTTCTCTGCAGCTGGGCGGGTCCCCCTTCTGATTTTGAAGTAGGAGGGGGGTGTACATTAGGCAAATTGATTCACACAGACCTCAGTGTGATTTGCCTTGACCAAGGCAGAGTGTCCAGGAGCAAGGGGCACTGGACAAGGAGCCCATCATGGAGCAACATCCCCCTCTCTTCCTGGGCTGCTCCTTCCTGGTTTTCAGGCAGAGGCTCTGGGACCACGTGACAATGATGCTATTGGGAGGCATAACTGTTGTCACAAAACACATTTGTAATCAAGTGCCTGATTGCTCAAGGCTCTTGATTATCACCTTCCTTCTCTCTAGTCATGTTGTATTTTTAAATTGTTTTCACCTACATTGTTTTATTTGATAACAGGAAAGTTAGAATCGAGTTGATTGGCAGCAGCATTATTTTGGTGAATGCGCGCAGCTGTACGGGATCATGTTTTCCATGCCTTCATCCTACATCCTCTTGAGCAGGGAAGGGTAGGAAGGGGAAGGCAGTGTGATTTCTAGGTCCCCGAATGCGATCCTCAGAGCACCTGACTCACCGTCCTCTACAGGAAGCTGTGGCAAAACCCAATCGCTGGCCCTCAACCACAGCCTGTTAGATCAGAATCTCAGGGGTGGAGGTGGGGGAGAAAGGGTGCCGGGAGAGGGGGAGGGGCATCAGGAATGTGCAATTTCTCAGAATTTCCCCCCCAATCACTGTTGGGGCTCTCTGCCAGGTTTGGGACCTACTGCAGTAAAATAAAATACTGTCAGGAGATTCACACCAAAACTGACCCCACTAGCCCTTCCGCAGTCCTTTAGAAAGAGATTTCTAAGGCTGGCCACTCGGGCCCTGGAGCCTGAGCCGCCGTTCTCTAGGGCTGAGGGAGCCAGGTGAGCAGCTGGATTTCTAGAGAAACACGGTGGCAGGAACTTAAACCGGCAAGGGAGCCTGACTGTTTGTGGGCAGCACAGGCTTATGGGCGCAATACATCTCACGAGAACAGTGAGTACCTCTCCAACAAAACAAAACAAACCAAACAAAGCAGGCTTGTCTGCAATATTTAGAAACATCTAATAGGCGTTTTATAGAGAGAAAAGTGGGCAGGAGAACGGAGACAGAATGGGGATGGTGAGGGCAACTCCCCGGGAAGGGCAGTCGTGCTCTGGGACACCAGGCCCTGGCTGCGAGATCAGTAATGGCGAGGCTGGAAAGAAAACAGGGGCTCCCAGGGACTCCACTTTTGCTTCGTCATGGGTGTTGCTGCTGTGATTTCCAAAAATTGTTTTCGCTTCCTGGATAAATGAACACATTCAGAAACTCCAGTCTTCCCCTCACAGCGCTGGGAAAATAAGAATGGAACGAGCAGGAGAGATGGTCCTCGCCTGGCCCCGGTCCTCCCTCATGGCTGACCGGCCTCTGGCCACCTGGGCTCCAACGTGAAGGGCCCGCTCAGTGCCCAGCCCACCCTGGTAATCGCTAATGTGAAACCTGAGATGTTGACACAGATCTGGGCAGAGAACTGGGAACAGCACTCCATTTCCAGATGTCAAGGGTTTCCGGACTCAAAAGCAGTGATTTGACTCAGCGCAAAGCCGTGGGCCGGTACAGGTGCCTTCCTCTGCCCCCGACCTGCCAGGGGCAGCTCAGTCCTGCTGAGCTGACTCAGGTGAAGGACACCGAGCTGCCAACTCTCAGGGCAGCCTGGCTTCCTGGCTTCTACTTAGCCACAACCCACTTAAACAGCATGGGCTTACCCCTTAGCTCCAAGCTCAGACATTAATCCGGCCTCTCTGGAAAAATCCCTGGAGGATCACCAAAATGCGCCCATAAGCAACGTCCTCTCAGCAGGGTCTCTCTCCTCTCTGACCTGACCCCGAGCACAGCGGCTCTGGGTCGGCACACCTGGCTTTCCTCCAGTGAGTCCTGTGATCTTCGACAACTTAACTCCTTTAAGTTTCAGTTTCCTTTCTGATAAGATGGAGACAAATATAATCATGAGCCACTCTGATCGCAAGAGGTGCTCCATGGAATAGAGACTCAATGTTGCACTTTTCAAACAGTGGGTATTGGTCACCATATCACTTGAATAGACTGATGTTCACCCAAGTCCACAGGCCAGCACAGTGGCACCTAACAAGGCAGAGGGAACCCTGCCCTGGGCGTTCCCCGGGGCCGAGACCGTGCTTTCAAAGTCAGAGCCCAGGTGCGAGTGAGCTTTCAAAGAGACAAGTATAGAAACATCTTTTCATCCACCAGCAAGGGGTGGGGAGGGAGCATTCTGTTTCATTTATACAATGCATCTCTGTAAGCCTGTTCCTCAAAATGTGGTCCATGGACCACCCATGTAGGAAAAACCTGGCAAACTTGCTAAAATGCAGATTTTTAAAAATACATATTTATTAATTAAATTGATTGGGGGTGACATTGGTCAACATGAACATACAGGTTTTAGGTGTGGGTTTCTATGACACAAGATTTGTATATTGCACTGCATGCTCACCACCCAAATTCAAATCTTCTCCTGTCACCTTATATTAGGACCCCCTTTCCCCCCAACCCCCTTTCATCTGGCAACCACCACACTGCTGTTTGTGTTCATGCATTTCAGATTTACAACAACATGGATGAACCTTGACAACATTATGCTAAGTGGAATAAATCAGTCAGAAAAAGCTAAGAACAATATGATTTCACTCATGTGTGGGGTATAAAATGCAGATTCTAGAGCCCCAGCTCAGATCTCCCAATCTAGATGCCCTGGGGTGATAATTCAAAAATGCTGACCACTGTTCCTGCTAGGCCGGTAGACCTGTAGGAATTATCATACCTGGAACATATGATACATAAAACACACACAAAGAGACATGTAAAAGTATTCGTGGTGGGTTTAAAATCTATGAGTAATCTAATTCCATTTTTATTAAAAATATATTTATACACATTGTATAGCCATGCTTAGGGCAAGGACTGGGAGCCTATGCATCCCAGGCAACAATGGCTGTGTCTAGCCGGTAACGTTATCTGTAATTGTGCTCATTTTGTGCTTTCATAATTTTTTTAAATGTTCTACGATTTTTAATATTATCTTTTCAGCAAGGAAAAACAAAGTACTTTTAAAATAAAAGCAATGAAGCCAGATGTGCAGCACTGAAGACTTCCTGAAATCTTACAGATGTCAACCCAGGTATTTCTCACTAGAGATGATGAGACAGGCCTAGAGCAGGGAAGTGACCAGCCCGGGGTTGCCCAGCCAATTAGTGGCTGGCTATGCCAGACTCCAAGTCTCAGGCTCTTAGACCGGAGGGCTCTGAAGTGCTCGGTGCAGGCCAGGGACCTGCCTCCCTTCCTTCCAGGCCCACGAGGGTGACAGAAAGACCACAGGAAGTGCAATGATTCCGCGGGTGGGGAAGGATGTAATAGCCTTTGCAGACAGAACTGTGCAGCCCTCGTTACTCTCTCTCTGGGAGTTAGTAGGTCATTTGCAAAAGGCATGGGAAGAGCAGCTGATGAAAAGGTCTAATAGTTTGGAAAACTGCTTAACCTTCCTGCTCTATTTCTGGATTTTCAGGGCCAAAGACTGTTGAGATCCTGATTTCCCTCAGAGGTTTTCCTGTTTAGGAATGCAGTGAAACCTCTGAAATCCAATTGAATTGGGAGCAGCGTAGCTGGGATTAGGGAACAGTCGGAATACTTTTTAAAAACATTCAGGTCTATTGTTTTCAAGGACATAGAATTCACAGACTTGAAAGGAGCTTAGACCCGCTCCCGCTCAGTGCAGGAACTCCGTGTGCTTCGTCCTGCACTGAACTTCATTTGGGCTTCCTTGAATGCTCCCAACGACAGGAGGCTCACTATGCTGATAGGTAACCTATTTCACTCTTGGAAAAGTTTTTCCTTCACCTGAGCTGGAATCTACCTTCCTCTGAGGTTCTGCTTGCCTTCTGGTTTTCATATAGAACTGAAAAGCTCTTCTTCCTCCAATGGTTTGAAAATATCTGAAGGCAGTTATCATGCACCAATAGTCTTTTTCTGCAGGCTGACCACCACCAGGATATTCAACCATTATTTATATAATAAATGTGATCAACTCTAATTAAAAATATAAACTGCTGTCTCTACTTAGCCTCTATATCTATATCTAAAAATTTATATCTATATATTTATATCTATCCATATCCATTCTGCTGTCTCTACTTAGCCTCTATATCTATATCTAAATATTTATATCTATATATTTATATCTATTCATATCCATTTCTATATCTATATCCATATCCATATCTCTATCTATCTATCTATCTATCTATCTCGATATCGCTATAGATATGGATATTCAGAGAGCTTAGAGACCACCTGCGCAGGCCATTTTATAGATCCAGGCTTCTTTTCACCTCACCTTGACTCCTATTATTCATAAGACACCCGTACTTCTCAAGTTCTTGAAAGTGCTTGGGAAGTTTGTTCTCTTAGGTATGTCAAAAATGCCTCTTCCACATTATATTTGCACAGTCAGTGAGGTAGGGATTAGAACAGAGCTGAATTTGGTGTACGTTACATTGTCGATGAAAAGTCTCATTCAAAGTGCATTGACCCTCCTTGCTCTTTGCTGTCAGGTCACCTGTCTCCCTTGCCCAGGATGATACCTCAGTATGGATAACACACTACAGGGCCACGTAGGCCTGCACGTTTCCCACAAGGTTCAGCTAAGTGCTCAGTTTAGGAGACCTTTCCAGCCTAGGAACGAAAAATGAAGTTGCCAGGACCAGAGGCGGGCTGTCCTTCTGCTTTACCCCGTGCTTGTTTAAAAGTTTCACATCCTCTTTTCAGTTTGGACTAATTCTCTGATGAAAAGACAAAGCAAAGATTCAGAGAAGCGAACTGGGCATGCCAGTGATTGGTTTCCTGTCCCAGTCCCCAGCAGCCATGCAGTCACATGCTTCGGAGGGAACATTCCTCCGTGCCCCAGCCCACAGCACTCTCCCTCTTCTCTCAACAAGGTATTGCATTTCCAGTTCTTACACTTGTCCTGGCGCAGCAGACAAGCTGCCTCATGCTGCTTCCTGGTTTGCATGTGTGCTGGGCTCCATGGGTGCTGGACTCACATGGTCCTGGGTTCCAGTCCTGACTCTGCAACTGGCCAGCTGTGTGGCTTTGGAAAGTTCCTGAACCTTTCTGAGCCTCCGTTTCCTCATTTGTTAGATGCGGACAATTATGCTACCGACATCAGAAGGCTGTCAAGATGACATAATGCCTAAAAAGGTGCCTAGCACAGTCCCTAACATTCAGCAAGATTCCATACAAAGGATCTGTTTAATATTATTAATATGATGCTACAGGAGGCAGAGACTGAACCCTATATTTTTCTTATACTGCACACAGTAGATGCTCTATACTAGCCCCCAACTGATTCCGGTCTAGGCTTCCTTGGGCAGTAGGTTCACCGGAAATATTCTAAGCGTCTTGTAATGACAGTTCCTATTTCCAAGCTCCTTTTCCCCAGATTCCCTCCCCCAATAACGATCTGAGAGTGGGGAGGGGGGAGAGGGGGGGAGAGGGCGGGACCCATCCTGTCCTGCCACTTTGCACACCTGTCAACTTGCATCTCAGGATAAGGTTCTCATTTGACAGAATCCGAGGACTTGCTGTCCAGGCAAAGAAAACTTTATGACCATGAAGCCAACACAGACCTTATGTAACCAACCTGTCAGCAAACAGAGGCACAGAGGGACACTGGCAAATTCCTGCCCCAAAAGAAACAAATCGAAACAAAAGGAGGTAGAAAGCAAGGGACTGAGACATGCCTAAAATGCTCCTGCTTGTCAAGACCCTTAAAACTGATCAACGCTCTTAAAAGTATTCTTCAAAGGACAGGAATATGGCTAAACTCCCTTTTACCGGGGGATCTAAATTAACATTCATAGCTGAACTTCTAACTGACATTACATCAGATGCTCCTCTAACCAAACAAGCATGTACAGTATAATTTCCTAATTGCTGACCAATATCTGCTGAGGACTCTTGCTGAGTCAAAGAACATTCTTTCTCTTGTTCCCTACAGCAGATGGTTTGTTTATTGCCTGAATTTTGTGTTACTAATTTTGTGTAAAAGCAATAAACACCCCCACTGAAATGAATTTGTTATGTGACAGCCCCAGGTCAAAGCCTCCACAGTGGAGGGTAAGGGCAGATTTCAATGGGCATGTGGTGGACAGGATACACCAGTTCCCGGACCTCCTGACACCCTGGCTGTAGCCCCGTCTCTCATGTCCTTGGCTTCTTACCTTGAGCAGGTCATTCCCCCTTGTAGGCTTTTGGTCTCTGCCGATGTCGAATGCTTTCTATGGGCTCTTCCAAGTCCGAGATCCCGTGAGGCTACGAGGAGTGTGGGGATTAACTGGAGAAGCTGCCTGCATCTCTAGGTGTGGGGCCCAGAGCAGGAGAAGGGGAATGTGATAACAGGTATGAAAGCCTTTGGAGAAAGAGGAAAGGTGCTGAATGGCAGACACTCTCCAATTCTCCACGGTCGGTTCCAAAATCATAGGCACCCAACTTTCTCCCGAGAGCTCAGCGCTCACCCAGACACCCATCACTGAACTGACAGGAAGCAGAAGGGGCCAGTGCTTTTCTGGTTGGGGACCGTGGCTGGGACAGAGGGAAGAGAAACGTGGAATCAGCTTTATAAGCGAGTGAAATGGCAATGAACCCTGCAGGCTGATCTCCAGGCTAGCGTTGCCAAGGAGGACGCTCCACCCGGTCAAACCTGGGCCAAGCCCTGGCTCAGACACACAGGCAAAAATAGAAAGGGGGTGAGAGAAGAAATGTGTTTACTTTTGTGATTTTTCCCTCATGCGCCTTCTAACAGCATTATCTCTCCACAAACAGGCAGTAACAGCTCCCAGGCCTGGCTTCCATTGATAAACCCTCCCCAACAGTTCAGCCCATAGTCAGTATCTGGGCAGCTGGAAGGTGCACTCGGAAGGCAGCAGAATGGAGTGAACAGAACACTGGCCCAGGGTCTGTCCCTCGCCGGTGAACCATGAAAAATCCTTCCCTGTGGCTGCACAAAATAAAGTGCTTACATCAGACAGAATCTAGAAATCGGTTTAGATTTTTGAGTTACATCTGTGGCTCTCTCCCAGGGGCAATCTCACCCCTCGAGGGGTTTTTGGCAATGTCTAGAGACATTTTTGGTTGTCACAACTCAGAGGGTGTTACTGGCATCTCATGGGTAGGGGCCAGGGATGTCAGACAATGAATAGAACATTCCCCCACCGCAGACAACTACCTGGTCCAAAGACTAGTGCTGAGGTTGAGAAATCTTGGTTTATATTAAAGTGAGAAGAGTGTTAGAGAGAAGGGAAAGGGGACAGAAGTAAAGAAAGAGGAGGGGTTAGAACCCTGTTTCTAGGTCATGGGGTGTTTATCAGCTAAGTGGCTTCCAGCTTTTCTCCCTCTGACCTATGTCCTTTCAGTTTCCCTTGAAATTACGAGGTGAAGTTTAGTAGTTTTTTTGTTGTTGTTGTTTGCTTTTTGTTTTTACATTAACTTCTGACTTATCCCTCAAATGCCAAGCCCTGGTGCAGCACTAAGATCCCCACTCTGAGACACAGCCAAACAATAAATATAAGCAGCTATTAAGCAAGTAGAACTAGAAGGTGGGTGGTGGGGGTGCACGAAGGGACACAACAGATGCTCCTAACTCCATTTCCATGAGTCAGTGTTTCTGATGTAACAACAAAGAGTAATCACCATAGGACCAGCGAGACGAGCTCAGCTGGGAGCAGGCAGAACTGATCTGGCGCCCCAGCATCAGGAGAGACCAAGGTTGCAGGCGACAGAATCAAAGGCCAGGGAAAGGGTTAAGCAATCAGGGCATGCCATTCCTGTGCCATTCCACATTAAGTCACCGGGCAGTTATTACAAATAGTTACCTGTGGTTTCCAGCGGGGGAGGCAAGCACACTCCAGTCGAGGGGTTTTGGAGAAACAGGTGCAATGAAGTCATGGTCAAACAATTTATTTACTGTAAACTTTAGACTTTGCTCAGGAAAACAACTGAAGCTACCCCTGAAATGCCTGCCCACAACACCCTGTTTCAGCAAATAAGAGGAACGTGTTCACAGCTGTCAGGTCCAGGCTACTCCGGATCCTCCATCCGAGGGGGCGGGAAAGAAGGTCTCCTTCAGATACACATTACCAGCAGCAATAGATTACCCCTAATACTTGACTGATGAGGTAGATACGCAGAAAAGTCATCAAAACATAGCAGCCCCAGGTCCTCTGGGACCGAAGCCCTTCAGACACACACGGACAAGTTCCATGCAAAGAGGAACTGAACTGTACAAGAAACAATCACTCCAATAAGTGTTCTCTTTTTTTACAGCTTACAAAAATAAAAAAAAAGGCAGGAGGATGTTCTTCCTCCTGCACATCTCTATACAATTCCATTCTAAATTTATTACACTTAAGTTAAATAGTCTGCTTAGTGTCTTGTCAGGGAAGGGGGTCTGAAAAAGTAGAAAAGCTGCATTAGAGCAGTGAGTCATTTGTACTACAATTCCTCCCGTGTGCATCAATGCTATCATTAGGCACAGTACCTTGACGGTTCACAAAGTCTTCCCTGCCCCGGGCATCCTCGCACAGCAGTTTGCTGTCTTTCTCCTGTCCCAGGTGATATCCACTGGGCACCCCTGTGTAGTCAGACTTGTCATTGCTGTTGGAGTAGCCATTCCCATAGGCCTTCAGAGAAGACCTGCGCAGGCACAGAAGCTCCTGGAAGGCACTCCTGAAATCGGGGCTCCGGCAGTAGATGAGGGGGTTGAAAGCAGAGTTGACGTAGCCCACCCAGTTTAGGAAGATGTAAACGTTCTTGGGGATGAGGTTATCCTGGATCACGTGCACAATGTTGACGATGAAAAAGGGCAGCCAGCACAGGGTGAACGTGCCCATGATGATGCCCAAAGTCTTGAGGGCTTTGTGTTCCTTCAAGCAGAACTTGGAGGACCTGCGATGTCCGTGCCCGCTCCTCCCATCCTCCACTTGGCTGAGGTTTTGGGCATGGAAGCGGCCCTCGAATTTGTCGATCCTTTGGAGTTGCCTTTTGGCCACCTGGAAGACCCTGGAGTAGACGAAGACCATGACCACCAGGGGCAGGTAAAAGGAAACGATGGAGGAGGCAATGGCGTAAGCCTGGTTCGTGAAGAAGTCACAGCAGGTCTCTCTGGCGTAGCACTTGATGGCGTCTTCGTGGGTGGCCCGGTACCAGTGCATCTTGATGGGCAAGAAGGAGGTGAGGCCTGACACGATCCACACCAGCAGAATGACCACCCGGGCCTTATTCTTGGTCAGCAGGCTCTGGTACTTGAAGGGTGACGTGATGGCAAAGTAGCGATCCACCGCGATCACGCACAGGGTCTCAATGCTGGCCGTGACACACAGCACGTCAATGGAAGTCCAAAACTCGCACCAGAAATTGCCAAAAGTCCACATTTTCATAAGGATGTGGCTGGCCCCAAAGGGCACCACCGCCAGGCCCATGACCAGGTCAGCACAGGCCAAGGAGGTGATGAAGTAGTTGGTGACCGTCTGCAGACGCTCGAACTTGGCAATGGCTGTGATGACCAGCACGTTTCCAAACACGATGGCCAGGACGATGAGCGACATGAGGATGGCCATGCCCACCACCCACGTCTCGTCCCGTTCCTGCGCGACGTCTTGGCCCGGTGCATGGCTTCCGTTGGGCGCCAGCAAGAAGACGGTGCGGTTCCCCGGTTGCCCCATGGCGCGCAGGCTGGCAGGTGAGCGCACGGGCTGCGGACGGGACGCCTAGAAGCCTCATTCAGCCGCCGTGGGGTGGGTGTGGTGGGAGCCCGTCCTGCACTCAGCTTGTGGGGTGCCCAGGGCTCGCGGTGCCCGTCAGTCCCAGCCTGAGATCTAGAGCAGCCGCCTCCAAGTGCGCGCTGCCCGTTATGTGCACAGGACTTTAGAGGAACGGCCTCCCAGGTGACGTGCGGGAACTTTCCGCCAATGGCTCACCGGCCTCTCCAAAGGGGCGAGGCCCCCACCTCTTCCTGCCCTTGAGGCCGGGCCACCACCCCTCCTGGCTCCCCTGGCTGGCTCCGGAGGGCTGGCGCTGGGGCTGGCACGCTTACCAGCCAACCTGGGAGCTTTGGGCTCTTCTGTGGCTGCTACCTGTCCGCCCTGGGCGCTTGTGGGGACTGAGATCTCAGGTCAGAGGGCGGCACGCGGACACTCCCCCCACATTCGGAAACAGAGGCGAGTGCCCATGGAGACACGCACCGACAGGCACACTTGCACCCCGACAGACATGCTCGGGCTTATACGGAACCACAACCATAGACTGAGACACACCCGTGCAGCGCACCGACAAACACCCTGGCGAGCTCCGAAGCCGACAGGCGCAAAGTCACCCTGCCCAACACAGAGACAAACACAGAAGCACGGAGAAGCAGAAAGGCATGGGCACACACAGAAGTAAACAACACACGAGCGCTCACTTGGAGGCGAGCAGAGCGCCCCATCCAGGTACTCCAAACCCCTCACCATGCACCCGGACCCCGTCGCGGTCCCCCTCTCCTTCCCGCGCGCGCGCGCGCACACACACACACACACACATAGGGACACAGACATATTCCCTTTCAAACATTTGGCAAGACCTCAGGAGGTGACTTCAACAGCTGCTGATTTCCTCAGCGCGCTCGCTGTCAAGTACTTTGGTGCCCTCCTTGGAAATTTGCAGGCATTGAGACATACCGTTTCAGACTTTGGGTTTCATTTGGAGCTGGAGTGTACTATATGCATGTGTGTGTTTGGGGACGGAGAGAGAAAGTGGTATGCTTTAATGTTTCATTCTTGGGAGTGTGGCATCAACTCCTTCATTTTTCTGTTGGAATGAAAACGCCTTGAACATGGAATAGTTTTCACTTCAACCTCAACTTCTTCAGTGATCCCATTGCAACTAGAAACATCCTTTCATCTGCTGGGACGTTTGTTGATCTGTTGGGGTGAGCCATTTGAAATTGCCGCTATTCTGTGGCTTCCGACTTTGAAAAATAGCAATTTCAAAGGACTCGGGTTATTACTCTGGCTAGCATTAAGGACGTTTTGCAGGCACAGAAAGCAAAAGATCATTTCTCCTTAAATAAAAATATCAGGCCAAGCTTTCCAACTAGGGTCTTTGTCTATGAAATACAGTACTATCCTTTGCATCTGGTATAGGACTTTACTATTAAAAAGAAATTCATTTTTCAGGTTTGATTTCGCATGTATTAGTAGTGTGTGTGTGTGTGTGTGTGTGTGTTTTTTAAGTATTTCCTACAGTGTAACCAGCATACTTTGTTGATTACATAATAACAACAATGGCTAACATTTATGGAACATTCTGCTATGTGCTTTTCATACATTATTCCATTTAATTCTTCCCACAGTCCCATGGTGTGAGTAGGGGGTAATTGGGTACTGTTTTTAGCTTAATTCACAAATGGGGCTCAAAGAGGAACATAGCCAGGCAGAGCCAGAGGCAGAAGCTGAGCCAGGCCTGCCTGAATCTAAAACCCATCTTTCAATTCATTCAATGCAGAAAGGGATGGGGTATAGGGAAGAAGGACTCCAACTGGAATTGGGATACCAAGGTTCCAGAACCCCCTGCCTTAGAACTTTCTAGCTCACTTTCCTTAGGCAGGTAAAAGAGATAGGGCTTAATTTCCTCCATCTCTAAACCAGGAATAAAGTCAGTTCCATTGGTTGGGCTGAGTGAGAATCGAATGATATCATAAAGGTAAAAAATGGCTTTTGCACATATAAATGTCACACAAACATGGGTTATAAATACTGCACAAATATGGGTAATAAATAAAATTTATATAATTTACTTAGCAGTTCAGAATATGTTGTTTGTCTTCTAATACTTCAGAAGCAAAGCCCAGAAACAGAATTCCACCTACACACCCCCTTTAACTTCCTTCACAAGCAGAGATGGGTTTTGCAAGACAGATGCCTTAAAAAACAAATAGTTCCCATAAAAGCCACCAATATTCATTAGGGCCCTATTATGTTCACATAGTTTTCAAAATATACCCACCTCATATTTGCGTTTTCCAAAATTGGTTCTGGCATGATGCATTTTCGGAAGAGGCAGTGCCTGTTATGCAACAACGTTTCTTTAAATATAAGTCTGCCCCGAATTGTGGAACTAAGTCATTTAAAGGCTCCTTCCTGTTTGTGAAGCTATGGAATAAATACACTTGTTGTTTAACCTCCCCATAACAAAACAGAACAAAGAAAGTCCTTTTAGGACAAGCACGAATTGATTATTTAGATATAAACATAAGTCACAACTTTGAATATTTTGGGAAACACCTTTTAAAAAAACCCACAAACACTAAATCAAGAGGGAACACTGCTCATGTCATTGAGGAAGTTCCAGGCCTTTGCCCACCAGCCTTACTGAATAGACAATCTCTCTCTCTCTCTCTCTCTCTCTCTCTCTCTTCCCTCCCCCCATCACCAAGTTGGTAGGAATTTCAAGGTTTTGTCTTCATGCCCAGAGTCTAATCCTGACTTCCTTTTAGAATTATAGGATTAGAGAGTTAAAATGGGAAAGAGTTTTAATAGATCATTTAGCTTTCTCCCCCCCCCACTCCAGTTTGCAAACGAGGAATAAAGTACAGTAATAAGTGTCCAGTCCAAGGCAGCTTCTAGCCTCACCTACTTTGAGTGCCTAACGCCGTCCTGTCATTTCTCAGCAGAGGAGTGGCACTGCTTACAGGACTTGCGGCCTCACAGAGTTAATGCTACAGTTGAACTGGGAAGTTCTCAGTAGACTAAATACACCTTTATCTGATGTAAGCAAAAGCAGGCTCTTTTATGGTGATTGATAGTGTCGAATTACTTATTTTGTCAATCCCTTAAGACACCGATTTATCGTTTCCTGCCTGCCAAACAGGGGAAAAACACACACATATCTTGATTGACCGAAAGAATGTTTGAATAGGAGCAAGTTTTTGTGGAGCCAGGGAATGCCCGCACACCAGTAGCTGGACAGCTTAGGAAAATCTTATCCTGGTTTTGGTTGAGACAAGATTCCTTCCATTTTTACAGTCCCCGGAGCAGAGAAACATCTGCGGGTTTCTTTCTAAATGACGGTCTTAAATGTTTGTCTTTAATATTATCTCTGTACAGTATCATCTCATGAAATTCACATTAAATAAGATTAAATGCATGTAAAACGCTTAGCATACTGCCTTGGGAAAGAGATAGCTCTGACTGTTATCTTCTTTTTGAATCAAAATGTGTACAGTGGGGCCTTGACTTATGAGTTTAATTTGTTCCGAGACCGAGCTTGTTAAGGAGCTCATTAACTCAAATTACTCTGTCAACTCAATGCAAAAAATTGGCCGAGAGACAGCTGGTATCTCAAAAAACTCGTTAGTCGGGACACTCGTAAGTCAAGGCCCCACTGTATATAGAATGCGTATGTGTCTTTTTATATCATATTGTGAAACAGCCTTTGAACATGGGTAATGAGTAATTTATTTTAAATCTAAGTTGCTGTGAAAAAGAATGAAAAGGGGGACAAAATTCGGTTTCTGAGAAAGAATGATAATGGAACTCACCATTATCATGCAGTTATAGATGCTAGTGGTTTTGAATGAAGCACCTCCCAGTCTAGTCAGCCCCTTACACAATGCGTCCACCGAACTCTTAGACAGCCCTCTCCAGTTTAGGCAAGCTCACCAGCCCTTGTCAGTGTATATTTCTCCAACTATTCAGATGGAACTGAAATCCATCTTCATGGAGCATCTACCCGTAGGTCTTAAGTCTGCCCCCTTGAGGCCACTCAAAACAAGTCTCTACTCTTCCCCAAGACTGTCCTTAAACTTTTGGGAGAATTCCCTAGAGTTCTCCTAAGCTTTCTTCTCTTCAGATTAAATACCCCTTGTTCCCTTGAGTCTCTAGAGTTTGCTTTACATCACGGCAGGTCTCTAACATTCATTCTTGGGCTGTTTGACGTCTAACCTTAACATCAATACCTGGAATGATCCTAGAACAAGCCATCAAACAATCAATTTGCAATCACCTTGGCAACCATAAAGTCGACAGAGCAACCAGGAAAGCTTTCAGAACAGCTGGTTATACCAGATGGATTTAATTTCCTGCTATGCTAGCATTTAATGAGAGACATGCTAATAAATTCTCAGAGTTTCAGGGGGGCTGAACAAAGGGAGATGGTATTAAATTAAAGCAGGAGAAACTTCAGTTGGTCATAGGAAGGACTCCTGGGCCTGAAGAAATTCAGTCATTCAAAGGGGCTAAACTCTTGTACGGTTTCTCAGTTGGTTTTTTTAAAATATATATATATATATTTATTGATTTCAGAGAGGAAGAGAGAGGGAGAGAGAGATAGAAACATCAATGATGAGAGAGAATCATTGATCAGCTGCCTCCTGCATGCCTCCTGCTGGGGATTGAGCCTGAAACCCAGGTATGTGCCTGATCAGGAATCAAACCGTGACCTCCTGGTTCATAGGTCAACGCTCATCCACTGGGTCACACTGGTCGGGCTCTCAATTGGGTTTTTGCAAGAGAATTAACCGTACAGAAAATTGTTTCAGTGACTATTCCTCCCAAGGCTGGAACATAGCTATTACCTTCCTAGGGACATAGAGAGAGATGAAGTCATTCCCTATTCTGTACAGGGTGCCTTAGGGCATAGGGCTTGATTCCCTTGTTGAATCTGAGCGGGACTGATTGAGTGGGTTCTCCTTCAGATATGGGAATAAAGAGTGTGTCTTGATGAATGTTTCTTTGCAACGGAAGCAGTTTGGTGTAGAGGAGAGAGCATAGATGGGGATCGGTAGAACTAGGTTCTGGTCCCAGAACAACTTGGTATCTATAACCTTAAAAAGCCACCTTCTTTTTTCGAGCCTCCATCTTTATCCATGGAATGGGAGTAGGAGTTTGGGCTAGGGGGCACCCAAGGGCTTTCTCGTTCTAAACTGAACAAGCCTGTAGTGGGAAGGAAGCACCTTGAGGGCCATTGAGGCGATGAGTTCCTGACTCTGAAGAGCTGCTGAGGACTTGGCAAGTGACAACTATCAATATCCTACAAAACAGCTCGGCTACAGTTTTCTTTCCCCCATACTTCACCATCCGGAACCCTGCTATTCTGAGTAGCAGGTGTACTGTTATTTACAAAATATTTTTCTTGACATCAACTTGCTTCTCAAACTCAAATACATTTGTTTTTAAAGAAAATTTTGTTTTACTTCCATTACTGCACGTGGAAAAAAACTGGTGTCATCTGCCATAAATAGAAGGTAACCATGAGTACAAAACATTGTTAATTATTTCTAGCTAAATTTTGTTCCTTGCCAAAGTTCTGAACCTGAGGCCTGTTCTCTTTTTATTAAAAAGGAAGATTAGTGAGCCTTGGGGAGATACTAATGGTATTGTAACACTAAATGGGGCTTCCTCCATCTATTTTACAAGATTGAAAAAAATTTGAAAGGGGAACAACTCCTGCTTAGTACACTGTTATTTAATGTAGTGTTGCTGAAGGATTTAAAATAATTTTATTATATTTAAAGGTATCTCAGCCCTAGACTTGTGCTAATGAGATGCACTGCTGTGATAGAAAGAGCATGGGCTTTGGAGCCAGGTGGATCTGGGTTCCAGTCCTGGTTCTGCCCTGAACCAGCTGAAGGCTTCAGACAATATGTTTAAACCCTCCAGGCCTCCAAGTGTTCCTATTTAAAATGAGGCTCAAAGCCCTCGGATGTTTGTTGAGGGAATAGAAAGAACATGTGAGAAGCTGGGTTTGGAAAAAAGAGAGAGAACCAACAGACAGGGCAGGAGAGTAAATCAGCAGAACTTGGAGTGGCTGGCGGTTGGGAGGTGAGTCCGAGGAGTGGGGGCCATTGCCAAACAGGGTGAGCTGAGCAGTGGACTGAGTGTCCGTAGGACAGGAAGGGTAATGGATTCAGGTATGGCCATGTCAAATCTGAGGCTTTGATTGGTCATCAAAATGGAAGTTAAAATATTCTAATGATTAGAAGATAGGTTTGAGGTGAGGTGTCTGGCGGTGGCTGTCTTTATAGTGGAGGTGTTCCCTGAATAGCTGTCTTCTCAGAGGGAGCTTCTGATGGTTACATGAAATCATGTGTTTAAGGAACTTAGCAGTGTTTCCAGAAAAAAAGTGTTTACTCTTGTCATTATCCTCAGATGGTTACATGAAATCATGTGTTTAAGGAACTTAGCACAGTGTTTACTCTTGTCATTATCCTCATCATCACCACCACCATCGTCATTGTCATCATTCTGGATTGCTAGCACACCTTCAATTTCATGACATCACATTTGTTTCTCGAAGGGTGGTACTTAAATGAATAAATAAACTGATCCAACAGGGGAAAAATCCTTTGTGTGAACTGACAGTGGTAGCTTTTGGCGTGGATTTTTGGGAGATGTCTTAGGTTGGATTTCCTGGCAGCTGCTGCTGAGATGAGGTTTGTGTGCAAGTGATGGATGAAGGGAGGGCTCCCAAGAGAAACCAGTCAGGGAGTGGGAGAAGCAAAGCCGTGGTTTCAGATGAAGACCAGGCCAGGCCTGGTCCTGTGAGCAGCTCTGGAGCAAGCAGCTCGAGCCAATTGCTTGGTTTGACGTCCTGCTTCTCTGATTCTTAGCTATAAAACCTGAACAAGTTACTTATTCTCCCTGTAAATTGATGCCCTCAGCTGTAAATTGAGGTGTTGATGATAGTATATCACAACCTCATGGGGTTGGTGTGAGGATCACATGAGTTAATGTCTGCAAAGTGGCTAGAACTGGCCTGGCACATAGTAAGTGCTAAGTTAACTATTGATGTTAAATGTGGAGAGGGCATAGAAAGGGGAGAGGATGTGCAGCAGAAAACAGCAAAGAAGTAGAAATTATTATAATTTTTAGTAACTTCTTTGGAGGCGGAAGAGGAAGGATGTGAGAAGAAATCAGGAAATGAAAATAAAAACTTGAACAAATGAGGAAGCTGTGAGAGAAAAGATTGAGCTTGCTAAAGCAGCTTCTGGGGCCTGTTTTCTGTTTGGAGTGTACACAAGTGCGTGCCCCTGCCTCTCTGTACTGATGTGGGCCTTTCGTGACAGTCCAGTGCATTAACACGGCTATGAATCATTCTGCTCCAGAACTGGAGTGCCCTTAAGGATTGCCTAGCTCAGTCAAGTCCCTGCTTCAGCGTAGGTGGGGTTGTGGGGGCAGGTGGGGGAGGCACAGAGACCAGTTCCTCCTATCAGAGCTGCTCCACCTGTACCTGCTTTTTATATCCTGCTTCTGCATAAAATTACTTTTGTGCAAGCCTTCCATTGCTAAAAGGATACTGCAGCCCTTTCAGAGTCTAGATGGGGAAGCTGGGATCCACAGTGAGGGAGGGATTTGAAAAAGGCCACACAGATTGCAGGAGAAATGGGTCTAGAAGCTGCGGCTTCTGACTCTCAACCTCTGCTCCAGTTTTTTATTCTGACATTTTAATTGAGACTGAAAAGACAAGCAAAAAGCCTGGAGGCACGTTTACATTTCACTGGCTTAAGCTGAAAGGGAATGTTGCGGGGGCGGGGGGCGGGGGGCGGATATCTGACTCACAAAAACCAATAAGGAGAAAGAAATAGAAAAAAATGAGAATAGACAAGAAGAGGCAGATTAAACTCAAATATTTTTGAGGACAAATTGAGCCATAAAATGGACATTGAAAGAATTAAATGACAGGGATTTTTTTAAATGTTAGCTGATGCCACCAACAAATACTCGTTGATTGCCGACTATGGGCCAGGCACTGTGGATGCAGTGTGAGGAAGTCAGATGCAATTCCTGGCCTCAGTGGGTTTGCTCTCTAGTGCACAGCTGAGCGGTTTGCACAGAATGAGAGCGTGGATTCACCTACACAAGCTCTCATTCGACACACTCTTGACGGACCAATTATTGCCGAGTGCGGCAAAGCCTGGTGTGCCCTGTCTGGCAGGAAAAAGATGTTGGCCTCAGCCCCTGTCAATTTCCGAGTCAAGAATTTAATAAGCTGCTCAAGGGAGGCTGTGGAGCTGTGGAGGGAGAGACTGAGAGCCCTGCTCCCCGCTCATGGTTGCAGTTAAGGGGAGAGAGGAGGAGAGGCTGGGTAAACACAGCAGCCAGGGGAGCAGAGTGAGCGTTGCTAAGAGGAAAGGGAAGGAGGAAGAGCAGAGGCTGCCGGCCTGCTCTGGGGCTGACATGTTGATGCCCTAACAGGGAAAGGAGCCATTTGGTGACCTCCTACCAGCTCAGAGGGTGCAGCACACACCCTCAGGACCCCAGAACCTAGGGCCGCCCAGCCCTCCCGGTGTTGATGGGAGCCTGAGGCCCACAGGGGAGGAGGACAATGTCACACAGTGAGCCGGCAGCAGCGCTGGGAGCAGAACCTGACTTTCCCACTGCTCCGTCCTGTCCCGTTACAGGAATATCACAGTGGTTCCATCCAGGATGTCTGGGAGTCGGGTCAACCTGGGTCTGCGTTCTGGTTGTGCCTCTTGCTGCTGGACTTGTGATCTTGGGAAAGTTTCTCTCTCAACCTTGATCCCTTCACTTGTAAACTGGGGCTGGTCATAGCAGTGGTTCTCAACCTTCCTGATGCCGCGACCCTTTAATACAGTTCCTCATGTTGTGGTGACACCCAACCATAAAGTTATTTTTGTTGCTACTTCATAACTGTAATTTTGCTACTGTTATGAATCGTAATGTAAATATCTGATATGCAGGATGTATTTTCATTGTTACAAATTGAACATAATTAAAGCATAGTGATTAATCACAAAAACAATATGTAATTATATATGTGTTTTCTGATGGTCTTAGGCGACCCCTGTGAAAGGGTCATTCGACCCCCAAAGGGGTCTCGACCCACAGGTTGAGAACCGCTGCTCTGGACTCTGGTCTGACTCGTGACTGCTGTGCCCAATGCATCCAGCAGAAGTGACACTGTGGCAGTTCGGGGCCTGTCCTAATGAGGACTGTCACTTCTGCCTAGCTCTCCTGAATTACCTGCTCTGGGGGAAGACCTCCACCATGTACACGACCCAGAGACAGCCAGGCAATGAGGAAGCCCAAACTTGGAGGAGCCCCAAGGGAAGCGATGCCCCCAGTCACTCCCGCGTAGCCCTGGCCTTAAGGTGACTCCAGCCCCAGCCGCCATCTGGCTGTAAACGCATTAACAGCTCCAAGAAAAACCCACCCAGTTGAACCCCTTCCACAATCCAGAGACAAAAATAAAATGGTTCTTGCTGAAACCGCTAAGTGTTGGGGGTGTTTGTTACCCAGCAATGGGAAGGGGACACAGATCTCCGGAGGCTGTTATGTGGATTGGTGAGACAATGATTTGGGACGGGGCCTGGGATGTGTAGAATAAATGGTGGATTTTTACTTTAATGAACTAAAAGCAAACAACTTCCAAACACCGTCATCAGTCTCTAATGAAAAGTGTGTCCGTGGCCTCTCTCTGGAGGCATTTGCAAACCGCACAGAACCAGCCTCATCCTTCCTCCACCCCACAGCCCCTCCTGGTGCGCTCTCCACACGGGCCTTCTCAGTCCTTCCTGTGAGTCAGACATTTGCACATGCTGTTCCCCATACCTACAAGCCTTTCCTTCCCCTGTTGACCTCATGAGTGTTTACTCATCCCTTAGCTCTCAGCTGAATCCTCGTTTCCTCTGGAAGTCTAGGTCCCCACCCTGTGGGACACACCCTCACTACCCATGTTCCTCTCCTTCTCAACACTTATCTCAGTTTTGCACCTTTGCATGTATTTGTGAGCTTATTCACTCAATATCTGTCCAGAAGACTCCCTCCGGACAGGAACAACATGGATTGTATTTGTTTTTGCTGATCACTATACTAGTAGTCCCCAAACCTAGCCCCAGCAGGAACCCCTGCCACATGGACATGTTCAGTGAATGATTTTTGCAAGCAAACTAGCCAGCTCCCAGGTTTCCCTTGGGCCTTTATAAATCCAAACTAAGCATCCCAGTCCCTTCAAGGTAGAGGACTTGGTTTTAACTTTGTTCCTCTTCCTTTCCCCCCAACTTCTGGTCCAGACAGCTCAGCCCACATGCAGCCCCAGAGTCAATGGCTTGTTTAGTCCTTTTGCTATTTAGGGAGAAGGCCTCTCTAATGCTAAGCAGTTCCTCCTCTGTAGTTGTCTGTTACGGAAAAAGGCACTTCCTTCCTCAAACTTGAACACTGCTACATTGATACCCCTCTTGGGCTCCAGGCCCCTCCCTGCATCGATTCTCCCAACACCACACCCCCTCCTCTCCTCTCCAGCTTCCCTCTCCATTGCTCCAGTCATCACTCATCTGGAATTTTCTCTTTTCACCACCTAGTCTTTCCCCACTCTAGTATCTCCTTCTCATGTGCTGCCTCAAGAATTCGGTTCCTACTACTTTCCTGCCTAAGACCTTGAATGAACCCTTCCCTTCCCTTTTTTGCTTTTAGCAGAGGTGGCAAATTGGCAGCCATAGGCCACATCTGCCCTACAGATGTCTTTGGGTTGGCCCACAGAGTTAAAAAATTAATTAGGTACTAACATTAAAAAAAAAATTGGGGATTTTCACATAAAATTCCAGATGACCAACTTCTCTTTAAAGCATCAGTGACCCAGACACACCAGGACTACAGAATTATGGGTTGGAGCTAAGTAGTCCTTTGGGCACATGGTCTTGAGTTTGCCATAGTCTCCACCATTCCCTAATGCCTCTGTCTTTCAGGGCAGTGGTCAGCTGCCATTTATCATGGCACTTGCACAGGCTCATCCCAGCTGTTACACTGGTTATAAACCTTCCTGGTTTCTGTAGGTCCCTGCATTGTACCTCTGCCTGCCTTATATAAATTCTCAATTTCTGAGTCTGTCAAGAAGTAGAAAAGAAGGAAGAGAATATAGAACATTCTCACCAGTGAGTCCCTCATAATCCATTAGCATTTGCAATTCATGGAGAAGTTTTCATTTTGTATGTGTGTGAGAGAGTGAACTTCCGGTTAATTTCTATTTTTTTTCTCCATGCTTTCCTATAGTTTCCAGATTCTCTACACGAAATGTGCTCCCTTTTCAAAGCTAGAATTAAGTAAGGGATATGCCTACAGAATTTTAGCTATGTCTGTGAAATCTAGAGTGCTTAGCTCTCCTTTATATATTTACTCACACTATTGGCTCTGTTATCTAAGTAGGTCACTTCTTATCACCCGATACTGCCATTAGTTCATAAATTAAACTATATTTAAATAACCTTTTACTTCGTATAGTGTTGTGTTGTTGGGTTGTTTTTTTTTTTTTTTTAGTAATTCTCTTACTGAGGTCGAAAACATACATGTATGTGCAAAAATCTTAAACATACGCAATAGATTTTTATAAATGCATTTTCATGCTTAATGCATTTTCATAAAATGACCACACTTGTTAAATAATACCCGGATTGAGATAACACTTGCACACATATAAGCTCATTTGATCCTTATGATCCTGAGAGGTAGGCAGAAGTGCAGGGCACAAAAGTCAGGCTCAAAAGAGCAAAAATAAATGCCTTGCTGGCATGTGGCTCTGTTGAGATTTGAACTGAGACTCCCTACACCACGACTGAGACTGAACTCCCAACAAGGCAGAGCAAGGCCAGGATGAGCGGACCTGAAAAACATTGTTGAGTTAGACCAGGGGTCCTCAAACTTTTTAAACAGGGGGCCAGTTCACTGTCCCTCAGACCGTTGGAGGGCCGGACTATAGTTTAAAAAAAAACTATGAACAAATTCCTATGCACACTGCATATATCTTATTTTGAAGTAAAAGAACAAAACGGAAACAAATACAATATTTGTATTTGCATGTGGCCCGCGGGCCATAGTTTGAGGACCCTTGAGTTAGAGTCTGTGTGTCTCCACAAAATGTGCTTTTTTTCACTGGCCTCCTCCCCACGTGCTCCTTCCCCGTCCTTCCCCCACCCCTGCATTTCGGTTATATTTTCATTTAACTGAATGTGGGACATTCCCCTTAATGGGTATTTTGGAATCAGTTTGTCTAAGGGAGTCACCATATTGGAGCAATGCGGCCCTGACTTCCTTCCTCTGCCTTCTTTGGGACATGTAAACAGTAGCTGCAGAAAGGGGAAAAGGAAATGTCAGATTTGTTTGATGGCTAAAGCCTGTGCTAGATCCTCATGACAACATCGCTCAGAAATCCTCAGCAACTCCTGGTGCTTCTCCTGTCACATCTCTGCTCATACCTGGAAAGGCCCTTAGAGATCACCTAGCTGCGCCCCCCCGCACCGTGGATGGGGAGCGTGAAGGCCAGAGGAGGGAAGCTGCTTGTCCAAGGACATGGTCAGCCTGTGGCAGGGCCAGGGTTAGAACCCCCTGGGCAGAATCTTTCCTAATTACAGTTCTAACCCCAGCTTTGTATCAGGTTCGTTGCTTGTGCTGTGTATGTACCAACTGACTCTCAGCTCCTTCCCCACCTTCTTATCTCTGCCCTGTGATGCTGGGGCTAGATGTCTGCAAACTACTTGGAGTTCCTTGCTAGGTATCCCGTGTTTCCCTCTGATAGCAGAGGACAGTCAGCAACTCTACCTTCAGCAACTTGCAGAGCACGCTCTATCAGAGGTCCAAGCTACGGCTGTGTGGTTTCTGCCTCTCTGAGATCTCGGCCTCAGCCATGCATGGCACCGCCCTCTCACTCTTAGTTTCTGGCAACCTTTCCATTTCCCTTCTGTTGTCCCAGTCCTAGGAGTGATGGCAGTTTCCTGCAGTTACTCATATCTAGATTTTCTTAGCATTCCCTTTGTTGCTTTTATATCCATCCAACAACAGTGCAATCAATTCCCTGTATTAAATACCTTTTATTTGAAATACCTAGCAGATTTCTGATCTTCAAACTAAACACCAACTGATATGTTGCTTAAAAACGTTTGCTTTCTAATTTTTGCAGTTTTCTTCTTCTAAACATTCATAGAAACATAAAATAGGTGTTGTCCAGAATATGAAAAGGCACATTAGCATTCATTAACTCAACAAATATTTACTAAGAATCCATCTGGGCTCTGAGGCTCAATATTAAGCAGTTCTTGTCTGTGAGTTATTTGAAGTCTTATGGGGAGATAGGTTGGTAAATAAGCAAGTATAGTGCAAAGTGACAAGGGTTGTGGGAGGTATTGATACAGGGACTCTGGAAGAACACCAGAAAGGCCCTAATGGAATTGGTGGGCTGGCAACATGTTAGGGAGGACTTTTCCAAGAAAGCAGTTTCTAACTGAAGTAGCAATACCTATCTCACTAGGAGTTTGCCAAACAAATTTGTGGGTGTGGGAAGTCGTTGGAAGAGATATTATTGGCAGAGGTGATAACACGATATGCCAGGGCCTGTCACAGGTTGAGTATGTCTCTCCAAAATTTACATCAAGTTCTAACCCCAATATCACACGATGTGACCTTATTTGGAAATAGGGTTGTTGCAGATGTAATTAGTTAAGATGAAGTCATACCGGAGGAGGGTATGACTGGTGTTCTTATGAACAGGGAGAAATTTGGAGACAGATGCACACACAGGGAAAATGCTATGTGAACATGAAGACAGAGATAGAGGTGATGCATCTAGGTATAAGCCAAGGGATGCCCGATTGCTAGGGGAGAGGTCTGGAACACAGTCTTCCTCACAGCCCCCAGAAGTAGCCAACCCTGCCAACCTTGATCTTGGACTCCTAGCCTCCAGGACTGGGAGACAATACACTTCTGTTGGTTAAGCCACCCATTTTGTGGTCCTTTGTTATGGCAAGCCTAGAAAACGAATACAGCTTCTAATTGTGGGTATTACAAAGCTTGTTAGGAATATTGTACACTGAGTGAGCACTTCCACAACAGGCTCTGTTCTAAATGCTTTATACTTACAGGAACTACCTCACTTAATCATCATGACAGCTCTAAGAGCTAGGCACTATCATTATCATTTTGACTAATAAGGGTAATGAGTACAGAGAGTTCAGGTGGTTTTGCTCAAGGTCACCCAGTTAACAAGTGATGTTTGGGACTGGGCTTTGAATCCAGGCCCACGATGAATATCTAACTGCATGATATCACTGCCCTGAGATAAAAGGTTCGTTTTACCTCGAGGGCAATGACTGTCACTGGAGATTTTTAAAGTCCGTTTTATTTAGGTATAGTTTACATACAGAAAAAGTTACTGTCTTTGTGAATGCAGTTCTATGGATTTTGCTGGATGCTCATAGTTGTGTGATCACCACCATCATGAGTT